TAATGACGTAAAACAAGCGCTTCTTGGGAGGCAACCCAAGTGATATTTACCGCTTTCTTAGCTAATTTCGTTTATGCATTTTTAGTTTTTATTCTTGCATAATTGGAGTTTTGGGAGTTGTGTGGTTTTTGCTTGTCAGGACCTACCGAGGCTTGGAGCTTGGGCGAAAGGCATGCACTGGACGCTTAGTCTCCTTGAGTCACCCTCGATTTGCACACTTTTTCTCTTTTTACATTTTTTGAGTGTGTTTCTTTCCCCTTTCTTTTCTTTTGAGTTTTGTGTTTTTGTGCTAGCTGCTTGTGTTGGTTCTTTATATGAAATTGCTAGGTCCTTTATTTGACTTCCTGTTTTGTGTTGAAGCAATGAGGACATTGCCTCATTTTAAGTGTGGGGGAGTTATTCGGATTTTTGCATGCTTATATGGTGGACCGGTCTAGTTTTAGGTTTTTGTATTGTTGAGCATGTGGTATTGGTGAATTATAGGATTTGTTGATGAATATCTGATGAAATTGGGAAGTTGTGATGACGGTTGTGTTGATCATTGCCTCGATATTTGCTTGATTGCTTTGAGTGACATTTAGTTACCTTGTGAGGTTTTGATCCTTACTCTTCTTTCTTGTGAGATATTGGTCATATTCTTGAATGATTAGAACTTGCCTTAAGTTTGTTTGAAAAGAATCGATTAGAGTTTGAAATAGCGAAAGTGATTGAGGCGTTTTGTTTGATTAGCTCTCTTTAGCCTTGTTCTTTGATCCTAAACGTTATTATCTCTAGTAGCCCGTTTGAGCCTTGAGCCTTCTCTTGTCAGCCATGCATATAATGTATTTTGTTGACTGATTTTGTGATGATTGGTGAAAATGGTGTCGTTGTTGAATGAGGTGAATTGGAGTTGGATTTCTATTGCTTGACCTAAAAAAAAAAAACATGAGAACTCACAGGTCGAATCGAATGGATTCTGCTCCTCTTACTAGTCGATTCATTTTGACAGGTAATGAGCATTAGAAAACTACTGTAGAACACTTAGATGACCTTCAATGTTTAAACCTACAGAATGTTGTCTTTTCGATTCGTTGTTGTTCGGAAAAAGTTACTCTTCAAAAAAAAAAAAAAAAAAGAAAAATAAGGTTAAGTGACGATGTTGCAATTTGTTTTGAGCATCTATGTGTTGTTTGTGGAATGTTGGTTGGGTAGTAAGTGTTTTGTCTCGTTGATTCCGGATGAGTAGTGGAATGCTTGAGTATACTTGAGAACCCTGATTGAATATTTGAGCTTCTTGTCCTTATATATATCCATACCTTGAACCGAATAGCCTACATTACAACCCGTGAAGTCCTCTTGATTTGAAGTTTTCAACTTTGATTGTTTCTGAGTAATTTAAACGATTGGCAAGCATATGTTGAAACTTGAATATTGACCAATCTGAGCGAACCTATCATATATTCATGTAAAAGAATGAGTGAGGCATACACTAATATTACTGTGTTTGAGAGTTTGTCATTTCGAGGCCAAGTTGATATTTGAGGCATATGGTCGTACGATCGTTGGAATTCAACCCGGTTGAGTTAAATATTTATGAGGCTCTTCTTGTATGAAATTGTATTCATGCTCAGGTCTTATTTTCTTTTCTTTTTGTTCGGGACGAACAAAGGTTTAAATGTGGGGGAGTTGTTTGTCCCATTTTTGTTGCATTTTTCCTTGTTATTTTTCTTTTCTTTTTCCCCCATATTAGGTATTTTAGTTAGTTTTTATCTCGTTTTGTAGTTTATTGCGTGCTTTCCTCTATCTTGGTTTTTCTTGTGTTTTTTCGGTTTTTCTTTGTTTATGGTGTGTAGGTCGGAAGCCTCTGGAGGATCATATTTCAGGAAAAAATTAGTCCGACAAGCGTAACTAAATAGAGGAGTTCGTTGGGAACACACAGAAAAAAACAAAACTCAATTCCGAGTTCGGACGAGCCCAAACGAGCCCGAGACGTGAACAAGTGCGAGCTGGCCAAGCCCCGCGCCGCGACACCAGCCCTCGCCGCGCCGCGGCAGCACCGCGACCCGAACTGCAGCTCCCAGCCTTCAGCGCGCGCCCGTGAAGACCTGCCGCGCCGCGCCACACACAGCCCTCGCGCCGCGAAGCACTCCCGCGCCGCGGCCAAGTGCCCTGCCGCGCCGTGTCGCGCCTTCCTCACGCCATGGCCGACTTTTCTTATAAATATGTGTACGGGAACTCGTTTTATTCATTCTTCCCCTCCTGGGGACGAACCCTAGGCTCAGAAAAAGAACGCAACTCTCTTCTCCTCCCTACCTTCTTCTTCTTCATGTTTCCTCCTCTCTTCATCTTTCTTATCTTCTTCTTCTTCTCCACATCTAAGAATTAAGCTTGTAATTTGGATTCAACTCTCGGATTGGATTTATTGTAAGTATTTTTCATCTCGTTTAATTCATGTGAATCATTATTTGGGGTGGAATGCTTTATTGTGTTGAATTCATGTTACTTAGCTAAATCTTATTGCTAGGGATAAGGGATGATTGTTCATGTTTCACGTGTATTTGTCGAGCTTAAATTGTTCATGTTTATGTGAGTTAATCTGATTAGGAATTGATGTAATCTTGCTTGATTGATTGATATAATCAAAGAGTGACACTTCGATCTTGCAAGTGGAAACGATTGAATGTTAATTTGTCTAGTTAGGGTTTGTTAATTCTATATAATTAGTTGATTAAACACCTTCTAATTTAATTAGCGACTTTTTGAACCAAAAGGGGAGAAGTCGTAGACCTAGGCTTGCATGAGATAGATAATTTCGTAACTGAATAATCTATGAGTTGAGATTGAAATACGTGCTTGTCAATGACCCGTCCCTTGTTACGAAAAGTTATTGGAATTGGGATAATTGGCTTGTGTTGTATGCTCGAGCTTGTTCGTCTATGTTCAATCCCTTGTTACGAAGAGTTATTGGGAGCGAACCGCTAGATGTTTAAGAGAGAGTGTCAATCTCGAACCGAATAATTGATTGCCCGATTTTGCTAAGAACTTGAATAAATTATCCCCGATTCCCTAGCTTCCTCATCTTTGTTCCGTTCTTTTATTCTTAGGTAGATTATTGTTTTTTTTTCTTTCTTAGTTAATAATTATTCAAAAACCCTATTTGATTAGAGTGTTTAGGATTTTATTTTCTTTTCGTGTGAAATCAGTACCGAAGCTAAATTCCGAACCGCCTTCCTCGAGAGATCGACCCGAGGTCGGGAGTCATCCCGTACTCGGTAAAAACATAATTTGCTACAACACTTCATTACCTCTTTTTGATAACACTTTGGAATCAACCACCACTCATATATTGCAATCAAACAATTTTTTTATGGCACATGCTCTCTCTGCAGAAAGTAGCCAACCAACTTGGGGAGGTTCTGTTCCGGGACATAGAGTAGTCCATCGTGATTGGGAGGAGGCCCATCGCACTCTGTTTCGAGATTATTTTAGAAGTAATCCAACCTACGATGAAGATACATTTCGTCGAAGGTTTCGGATTTCTATTCATAATTTCAAACGTGTTATGCGAGCATTGAAAAATCATGATAGTTTTTTCCAACAACGTCGGGATGGTCTTGGTCGACTTGGATTGTCAACATGTACAAAAGGGACAGTCGCGCTTCGTCAGTTGGCCTATAAAACCCTAGCAGATGGTGTCGATGAATATCTTAAGATTGCTGAGTCAACGGTCAATGAATGCGTAAAGCGATTCCGCCGTGGATTCGTTGAAGTTTTCAGAGCACAATATCTGAAATCACCAAATCACGATGATATCGCTAGATTGCTTCATATTGGTGAACAACATGGTTTTCCAGGTATGTTAGGTAGCTTGGACTGCATGCACTGAGAATGAAAAAATTGCTCTAAGGCATGGGCTGGTCAATACGCTGGACGTCCCGGAAAGCCAACAATAATTTTGGAAGTTGTGGCAGATTATGATCTATGGATATGACACGATATTTTGGTATGCCAGGTGCGAATAATGACATTAATGTGCTGGAAGCATCACCTCTAATGTCAAATCTTGCTGAAGGTATCGCTCCAAGTGCTAATTACACCATTCAAGGTAAACAGTTTAATATGGGCTATTATTTAGCAGATGGTATATATCCAAAATGGTCCACTATTGTTCAGTCTTTTGTTGCACCATCAAATCCAATGGAGGAATACTTTAAAATGAGACAAGAGGCATATAGAAAAGATATAGCGTGCATTTGGAGTTCTGCAAAAAAGGTTTGCAATCGTCGCGGGTCCTGTTCGTTTTTGGAAAAAAAAAGGTGCTTAATGATATAATGAAAGCATGTATTATTTTGCACAATATGAATGTCGAATAGCAACGTGATCTTAGTGCGCCACTTAGAAGTGATGTTCAATTTGGTGCTCCTACGATTAGTCCAGCACCGCAAGATCACGTCTCTTTTCAACAATTTCTTGCTCGACACAAAAGAATCAAGGATAAGTTTGCCTACTATGAACTTCTTAATGCATTGGTTGCACATTTGTGGGAAAAATATTTTGTTTTCGTAGTTTTTATTGTATTGAAAGCTTTATGTTTGATTTTGATGTTTTTTTTTAAAAAAAATTAATGTTTGTGATGTAATCCACGTAGTTTTATGATGCAGTGTGTAATTTTATAATTTTGATTTAAATTTATTAATTAATCTTATTAATCAATAATTAATATATATTCATAGATATGTAAATTTTAGCAAGTATAATACATTAAAATGTAATTTATAGAAATTATTTAATAAATTAATAAAATTAGAAAAGAATATACTTAGAATATTTTTTTAGAATAAATTATAGAGAGAATGAGTTGGAGTACTTGTAAAAAGGGATTTTACTATATAGATGGAGAACATGGTATGGTTGGAGATGCGGCCTCCGTGGACACCGCCACAGCCACCGCAGGTAGCGGCGGCTCCCTCGAATCGGACTCTCTGCCGGTTGTGGATCTTCGGCCTCTCTCCCAATCGGAGCTATATTCTCTCTCTCTCTGCTCCTCCGCCGCCTTCTATCCCCGCCGCTTTGACGACATCGTCATCCCCACCATTGATCACTCCGTTTTCAATGAGTCCGCTGGCTCCCGCAAACAGACCTACTCGCGCATCCGCCTCGCCCCGCCTTCATCTTCCCCTTCCTCCGTCTCCGCCCGCCGCCGCACCCTACATCTACGTCCCGCCTCCTCCTCCTTCGCCGATGTTAATAATTCCGATCCCAGAATGCCCAAATCGCTACCCTTCTCAAGCAATTGTTCACGGCTAAAATCGACTACACAAATGGGGGTCGTGCGGGCCACAAACGGAAACGTGGCTGCCCTCCTACGAATGGAAAATTGGAGTCGGTTGTGGCGGTTGTTGCGAACAACGTGGAGAAAGACGGGGAAGTCACAAACGCCGTGGATTTGGCAGCATTGGGTTTGGTAGAGCATCCTTATAAGGAGGAGATGAGAAGCAGGACCCACGGTTTGGGGACGGAAGAGGAATTGTTGGAATTTTTGAAAGGGTTGAGTGGAAAGTGGCGAAGCAAGAGGAAAAAAAATTAGAGGATTGTGGATGCTAGTGAATTTGGGACGGCACTTCCTGTCGGTTGGAAGCTTTTAATCTGCGTCAAGAAGAAGAATGGCACTGCGCATTTGTATTGTCGTCGCTACATAAGGTTATTATTATTATTATTATTATTTCATTTGGTCTTTTGTGCTGTTGGTAATACTTAATATGAACATTTGTGGAAATACTTTCTCTTGTGTGATTGTGTGGACATGCGGTTGTGTTTGTGTTGCATATTCTGATATTTTTTTCCTTGGCTGCTCTTGGAGATGGTTGGAATATGTGCATAGGCTATCATTAGATTCGGAAAAGGGAGCCTGAATAGAATTTGATAGAAATAAAGGACATGTTATACATAGCTAAATAAATGAAAAAAAATGGCCTGTGACTGATGGATTGAAATAGTCGACGCCACAATGTATCTTTGTCTTTCAAAAAATAGTGACGACAAGAGGCTCGATCGCAGTAGAAAACACAAGAACTTATCATTGCTTACATTAATGAATGACCAGTCTCTACCAAATCACTACTCTTCAGTAGCTGCCTACCTTTTACTTTCATACATTCTGCTAATTCTGTATAGAGGCATTGCATTTTAGAGTGTCACAGACGGTTCCAGATTTGCATCCTACTGCTTAGAAGCCGAAACATGCTGAAAAATGCATGTTTTAGCGGTAAACTTGGAGGTTTCAGGGAAGCACATATTCTTTCAATTTTTGGTGTTATGAAATTTGTATTTGGGAATTCTTATAATTCTTGTAGTTAATTACTTAATTTATGAACACTCATCCGTAACAAATAAGTGGAATGTTTGATTGCTTTTTTTCCTTTTAAGTTACTTTTGGTTTGAGATAGTTGTAGATTCTTTTAGGTAACTGATTTTAAGAAAACATGTGAATATTATGTCCTTTTATTTTCCACTTCATTTTTAGCCTGCCATTAACGGAAAATGGCGGCATGCTGGAAATCCCACTATTGTGCCGCCATAACCGCCATCCTTCACAAATTTGTAAATCCGCCACATCATACCGCCATGGCGAAGATTTGATAACATTGTTTTTTATGGAGATGGAAGAATAGATGGATATCCATCTTATTTTATGCTGATTTTTGAGGACCTTAATCAATGCTTAAGTTTATGGATTTGACTGATTTATTATTCCTTATGTGTAATTACTTTCTTAGCCTTCATATTTTTTATTATCATTCTATATTTAGCTATAGTTTGTTACTAGTGCAATACCCGTGTACTACACGGGTATTTAAATAGTATATTAATATTTGTACAATAAAAATTAAGATAATTTATATTTTTGCTGTGAAATTATGTATGATTGAAATGCAACATATAATAAATGACTAACAAAATGATAATTAATTCAAATGGTGCCCGTTTTTTAAACTAAATTTGCCAAAAAAGATATTTTTTAATTATATCTTTAAAATTATATATGTGTAAAACTGATTTTATTGACAATGTCANTATAATCTATTTAAATTGAAAAATAATATATTATAATTTTTCTTAAAATTTATTTTATTTGATTTATCCAAAATTTATGGAAAGAAATAATAAAATGATTATTTTATGGTGTATTAATGAATTAGGTTTTTATTATTTTTTATAAAATAATTTATATTGTTATTTGATGTATTTTAAATGAGTTGATAATAAAATTAATTTTATTTATAAATATAGATAAAATTATTATTTATTTTCTATATGCAATATAGATGTCATGTCGAAGAGTGTTAAAATATGATTATATTGATAGATCATGTATAAAAAATAAAATACAATTAAAAAAGTTATAAAATTTTAAAAATAAAAAGAATACATATTTAATATTTATAAGAACTAATATATGAATTAAATAAAAAAATGTAAGAGTAGTATATGGTAAGTTAAGAAAAAAGGGAAGCTAAAATAGTTTATGGTAATTCTCAAGCCTAATGTCAAATCCAAACCTAAACACGTGTGTGTCAATACGAAGCACCAATTTATGCCAAATAAGCTTACGAAGCACACGAGTCTGCCACTTAGGTTCAACACATTCGGGAATTATATATAACAACGATATAAAAATAGGGTTGTCAATAAGGTAATATGGAGAGATTTATGTTGTAATATCATCGGCTATTGGGCTAGTTATTCTTGGTAGGCAGATTTTTGTTGGAGAACCGTAGTTTTGAATGGCGAATGGCGAGGTGATTTGCCCATTGCCTGGCCGCGGGGCAGAATCACTCAAGGCACCAAAGAGA